CACTTTTTGTTTTTTGAGAATTGGTGCCACTACTTAAACATTTTAGGCATAGAGTGTAGCTATTTATGAAGACACAGTTGGTAGATAAGGGTGTTAGAATTAAGGGTGTCTCCTACTAGGATTTTTCTTTAAACTTTTTATTAAATGTATTGGGGTGACTTGGCTAATAAACTTATATAGGTTTCAAATGTACAAGTCTATAATACATCATCTGTATACTATCGTGTGTGTTCACCATTCAACCTCAGGTCTCCTTCAGTCAGCATTGGTTTGATCCCCTTTATCCTTTATTACACTCTCACCCTCATTCCCTCTGGTAACCACCGTACTGTTGTCTGTATCTATGAGTTTTGTTTGTTCGTTGACTTGTTGCTTTCAGTTTTATATCCCACATATGAATGAAATCATATGGTTCTTGACTTTTTCTGTTTGACTTATTTCGATTAACATGATATTCTCAAGATGTATCTATGTTGTTGCAAAAACCAGTATTTCATCTTTTCTTATGGCTGAGTCCTACTAGGATTTTAAAATCTGACTTTGCATGTTACAGAGAGGATTCTTCTAAGTTGTCTCTATCAGGCTTAGAATAACGTGATGATTTTCACCAACTAAGCCTTTGTTGATTCATGACGGGTTGGGTGGGGGATGAAAAGGTAGAGCACAGTTTCCTCTCACTGCCACCAGCTGTAGTAGTCAGCCAAACAGTGCACAGAGCTCTTGGAATAGCTTGACAGATGTGCCATAGTGTTAATAACAGTAATTATACTGTAAGTGCCAGTAAAAGGAAAGATTTTCAATGGAAAATATCAGACTCAAGAGGTGAGAGGTTGCTGTGTAAATAAAAGAAGAGGGGAGATAACTAATCTTAATATAGGACTTACCCCCCCCCCCCACAAAGACTTCAGAATGTATGAGACTTACATTAAATCTTGAGTTACTTGTCTGCTTGGATCGTTTTTCTGCCAGCAGATCTTTGACTGTGTGCTTCACTCTCACGCCTTGATATACTCGTTTGCTGTAGTCTCCTGGGACTTAAGCAAATGGAATAGTAACAATCAAATGTGGGTGGAGTAATCAGGTTAACAACTAGAGGGCTGTAGTCAGAGGCTATAATTGTAATGCTGTTTTCTTGTTAGCATGATAGACTTGAATTTGAAGTGGCTTCACAGAGGTCATCTAGTCCCATCTCCTAGCCCTGAATGAAGACCCAACCAAGCTCTGATTAAGTGAAAGAAACACCATTCCAACTTCTACACAACAACTCTTCAAAGTGTCTTCTTATTTGTACTCTGGTTTGCCAAGATCTACGTAAGGAAGACTTCAAATTTTTGCTTTAATAGCAAGATCAGGGATTGGATGCAACTAGAAATGATGCTTCTTACTACATGGTGCAAAGGTGGATTTGCATGATTCAGATTACAGAGGGAAAGTATTCCTGCTGGCTCACATTCCTACCTGCTGTGGGTGAGCAGATCAAATGGACTGTTTCAGGAAGATTATGTTCTTTTGTTGTTGTTGTTAATCCTCACCCCAGGATAGGATTCCCATTGATTTTTAGAGAGAGTGGAAGGGAGGGAGGAGAGAGAAAGCCACATCAATTGGTTGCCTTCTACACATACCCTGATCAGAGACTGGGCAAACCTGCAACCCAGGTATGTGTCCTTGTCTGGGAATCAAAACAACAATCATCTGATGAGAGGACCTATGCTCCAACCACTGAGAAACACCAGGCTAGGGCAGGAAGATTATGTTATTAAGGAGAAAGTCATTTGTTTCTGTTCACTATACTAATTTATGTATTTTTTTTTGAAAATACAGTTATACAACATGAGGAGTTGCTGCTTTGAAACTAGGCCAAGGATCAGGGAAGTGTCATTCATTCATTTAAGAATATTTATTGAGCACTTACCACATGTACTGATCAACCATATTATGGTGCTGGACAAGGTACATGCATTATTTCATTTGATCCATTTTACAGATGAAGAAGTTGTGGTCTGGGGCTAAGTGATTTGTCAAGGTCTCATAGCTACTAATCAGCAGACTTAGTGGCTAGGATCCAGACTGAGGTTAGATTGTAGCTCTAACAACCAGAAAATTTGCTAGTTTACCCTGATGAAATTACAGAGCGATAACAGGCTATCGAGAAAATATTCCCCCAAGGTTATAAAATTGGGAACATGGCTTTTGGGGACAGTGAGTTCCTTGTCACTAAGGGTAATCAAACAAAGACAGGAGAACCTTTTGCTTGGATGATGATAGAAGTATTTAAGCTCTTAATTGGTGGTTAACTAGAGGAATTATAAGACATTTTTTTTAACTTTGAAATTGTTGTTCTGTAGAAGGTTGGATGGTTTTGATTCATTGAGGTGTTGCTGGTTTATCAGCAATTTCAGCTGGCTTAGAATTCAGCATCAGTGTATATGGCAGAACATACTAACATATATATGCATTAAGTATATAACCAGAAATATTCTCCAATCTGGTTGAATTTGTAAATAATCTAGCATATATTTGACTTATAAGTAAAGTCTCATCACAAAGAAGATGAAAGGAAGGAAGGAGGAAACCAAACCCAAACCAGGGGCAGAATGATGCATTGGCACAAAGGCTGCTGGCCTGAGTCAGTGCTATTAACCACATACTAGTCTTGGGAAAATCACCATCTCTCGGCCTCATGAAGAAGAAATAATCTATAGGTTCCAAGACAACATATTGTTTAATACAAATAAAAGCACACATAATCTGGTCTCAGCAAAACAAAGTTATTTAAAAGGTCCCTTGGGTCTAATTTTGACAGGAGTTGGACTATATATCTTTTTTAAAAAATTCTTTATTGTTTAAAGTATTACATGAGTCTTCTCCCCCCCCATTGACCTCTCCCCCACCATCCCGTCCCCCAAGCACAAGCCCTCCCCCACTCCCTACTGTCTGTGTCCATTGGTTATGCTCATATGCATGCATAAAAGTCCTTTGGTTGATCTCTTACCCTCTCACCCTCTGCCTTCCCTCATAGATTGTACAGTCTGTTAGATGCTTCTATGTCTCTGGTTCTATTTCTGTTCATCAGTTTATGTTGTTCATTATATTCCACAAATGAGTGAGATCATGTGATATTTATCTTTCTTATTTTGCTTAGCATAATGCTCTCTAGTTCCATCCATGCTGTTGCAAATGGAGAAAATAAACGAATGGGACTACATCAAAATGAGAAGCTTCTGCACAGCAAAATAAACCATCAACAAAACAACAAGAAAGCCCACTGCATGGGAAAACATATTTTCCAATGTTATCTCTGATAAGCTTTTAATCTCAAAAATTTACAGGGAACTCATACAACTGAACAAAAGTAAGATAAACAATCCAATCAAAATATGGGCAAAGGACCTAAATAGACACTTTTCGAAAGAGGACATACCGAAGGCCAAGAGACATATGAAAACATGCTCAAAGTCATTATTCATCCAAGAGATGCAAATCAAAGCAACAATGAGGTACCATCTCACACCTGTCAGAATGGCTATCATCAACAAATCAATTAACAAGTGCTGGTGAGGATGCGGAGAAAAAGGAACCCTCGTGCACTGCTGGTGGGAATGCAGACTGGTGCAGCCATTGTGGAGAACAGTACGGTGTTTCCTCAAAAAACTAAAAATGGAACTCCCATTTGACCCAGTGATCCCACTTCTAGGAATGTATCCCAGGAAAACAGAAAAACCAATATATGGACCCCTATGTTCATAGCAGCACAATTTACAATAGCTAAGATTTGGAAATAACCTAAGTGCCCATCAACAGATGAGTGGATTAAAAAACTTTGGTACATCTACACAATGGAATTCTATGCTGCTGTAAAAAAGAATTATTACCATTTGCAGCAGCATGGATGGGACTATATATCTTTTAATTAAAGAGGCTTAAAGTACATCTTTCAAATAAACCTCAAATTTAAAGCTTAATGACCTTATGATTTTTTTCCAAAGGAACCTAAGTGTTGTTCCTAGAATTATATGTGATGACTTATCTTTTAGAAAAGCCTAAGGCTGTATTTACTCATCAATTATTTATTGAATATTTTCTGTGTCAGGCATTTCAGAACAGGGGATACAAAAGAACATGCTATCAAGTGGGAGGAGAAAAATACTAAAAAAGTAATTATAATGCAAATGTGCTAAGTACAACAAGAGAAATATGCTTAAGATACTCAGATAAACACAGAATATGTCACTTCCTTGTGAGTGTGGGAGGGTGTTAGGGAAGGCAAGGTGACACCTGAGCTGAGGTAAGGGGTGTGTGGTGATGGCAAAATGGGCAAGAACATTCAGGCATAGAGATAGCATGGGCAATGGCCTGGAGGGAAGAATGCAGAGGTGTGTGAGAGAGGATGTGGCAAGAAGGTAGCCTGGGGAACTACAATGAGTAGGGCTCAGTCATGAAGTTTCTTGTATGTGAAGGAGTTTGGACTTCATCCTATTCGACACAGAGCCATTGCTTTTAAGCATGGGTGTATTGTGGTTAGATTTGCATTTTAGATGGACTTTTCTGAAAGCTGTGTGAAGAATGGACTTAAGAATCACAAAACCACAGGGAAATCAGGCAGGGGGTTTCTAGAATAATTTGGGCAAGAGGTGATGGGGTCTGAGCAGCAGTAGATAGGAGGGCAAACAGCAGACAGATCTGGCAATTATTTGTATGTGGGAGGGAAAGGAGAGGGAAGATCCAAGGGTGATTCTCAAGTTTCCATCATGGGGTTGGTCTAAGTACAGAAGGCCCAGAGCCATCATGATGTTGATGGTAATGAAACCGGGAAAGAGGATGAAATCTCTTGGGGGAGTGTTTAAAAGGTAGAGTCACATGATGGCACACATAGAAACAATATGTGTCTGGCATATGGGAATAAACAGGCCAGGCTGTTGCTGAGGGCTGAGAGGATCAATATCCCGGGAACTCCCGTAACACCGATTCCTAAAACACTGGACTAAATGGTTAAAGATGGAACCATCCTTTTCTTGGGGTTGCGCTACTGTCCAATGAACATCTAGTGAGGACAATACTGCTATGCCTAAAATAGATAGATGATAGATAGATAGATAGATAGATAGATAGATAGATAGATAGATGATAGATAGATAAATGTTTAAAGATGGTCCCGTGGAACATCCTCATTTGAAGGGTTATCAGAGGAGGAGAAAACCCAATGAAGAAGAAATGGTTGGAGAAGAATCAGGTCAAACCAGGGGAATAAGGTATCACAGAATTTAGGGGAGGAGATTTTAAGAAAGAAGGGAAAGGTATGAGATGCAGCAGAGTGATCCAGGAAGATAGAGACAGCAAGGCATCCTTTCAATGCAGTGGTTGGTGTTAGACTTCCCCAATGGCAATTTTGGGAGAGTAAGGTAGCTAGAACCTTGTTCCATGATACATCTGACCTCATCTCCTAATACTCTCCTCCTTACAGGTAATAATGTCAAGGGAAGAGGTGGAGACAGGAAGGGAAATGACTTCTTGAAGTTTGAATGAGAAAGGGAAACAAGAGATTAGATGATAACTAGAGAAAACTATAGGGTCAAGGGGACATTTGTTTATGTTTTTACATCTATTTATGTACTTACTAGAGGCCCGATGCATGAAATTCATGCAAGAGTAGGCCTTCCTTCCCCCGACTGCTGGCACTGGCTTCCCTCTGGCACCCAGGACCCAGGCTTCCCTCCAGCTGCCGGCAGGCACCCGGGACCCAACCTGGGCTTCCCTCACAGCCTTGGCTTCTTCCAAAAGGTTGTCCAGAAGGACGTCCAGTCTAATTAGCATATGACACTTTTATTATTATAGATGGGTGACAGAGATTAGAGGATAGTAAAGTAGGACAGAAGAAAGGACTAAAGATTTAGGAAAAGAGGGAAAAAATGATGGAAGGACATTTTGAAAAAGAAGCAAGAAATTGGGGTCAAGGGCACAAGTTGGTTCTCAACCTCTGAGACTGGAGTAAAGAAAGGGGAGAGGTGGTATGCTCAATGACCAAGGCACCTCTACTCTAGTGCCCCTGAAGCAGCTTGGAGTAGGAGAATAACTCAAGTACTAAATGTCAAAAGAAGGCAGGGGTCAAAGTCAGATAGACAAGCCTAAGTGAGAATACACCCAGTAATCCTCCACATGTGATCTCTGCACCAGCAGCAAGGGCATCAGCCAGAAGCTGGGACGTGCAGGTTCTCTGGGTCTCCTACAGATGAACGAATCAGAAACTTTAGCGGTGGGGGCCCAGAAATCCATTTTTTAATGAGTCCTCCTGGTGATTCTGATGAGAACCACAGGCATACATAAGAGTAAGGACGTTGGTAAGGTACCTGCGGAGGTGGGGGCCAACTCTAACAGAGGCATCCTGGCTAAGCATTAATGTTGATGACTGGTTGATGGCAGGTGTGGACTAAGGTCTGAGAGGAGGAGGTGGAAGCTGAAGAGGTCCAGGCTGGATCCTTTGTGTGTTTGCAGAGTCTTGGCTTCACTTTTTTTCTGAAGGCTTTTTAATTGCTGATTTCAATCTGAATGATCTACTTATGCTTTATGTGTATGCCAAAAAGCCTAGGGGAATTACACCTATTCTAAATAAGCTTAACAAATAACCACATAGCAATGAATAGAGGGATAAAGTTCATGGGATGGTAAACAACCAGATCAACACTTCTGAAGTTTTATCATAAAACAATCAGTCTTACGTTCCAGTTGGCACGGACTTGTTGTATGGGGCTATATGCCGCAGGGGATGCAAAATAAGTTTAGAACATATAACAGATGTCCTCAAAGAGATCCTATTTTAGTGAGAGAAATAAGACATTCACACGTGAAAGGTAGGGGAAGAGTACACTCTGGATTGTTGATAAACTTTTTGTGGGAAGGGATGGGTGGGACTTGGGTTGGATTTAGACCAGTGGTTCTCAACCTTCCTAATGCCGCGACCCTTTAATACAGTTCCTCATGTTGTGGTGACCCCCAATTTCATTGTTACAAATTGAACATAATCAAAGCATAGTGATTAATTACAAAACAATGTGTAATTATATATGTGTTTTCTGATGGTCTTAGGCGACCCCTGTGAAAGGGTCATTTGACCCCCAAAGGGGTTGCGACCCACAGGTTGAGAACCGCTGATTTAGAAGGATGTGGATGGGATGGGAGGAGGAAGAAAGGTATTTTAGACATCAGGAATGGTATGAGCAAATGCAGAGGCAGGAAGGAGCAAGGCATGTGCAGAAAGGGTAGAGAGCTAGTGTCATTGTGGTGGCTTAATAAAATAAAATATATAGGACAGGAACTTTGACAAGAATTAGAACTGTACATCTAAGAAACATCATTAAAGGTATGGTAATGAAAGCTATGAAAATGAAGTTCTCCGAGGAAGGCTTTGTAGCAACAGAGGAATAGAAATCCAAGCGCTGAGTATGGGGAAAAGGCTACAGTTCTGGTTCTCAGGGGAAGGCGGGGGGGGGGGGGGGTCAGAAATATAAGTAATGTACCATCAGGACAGCATCAGAGAAATGAAAGAAAGAGGGTCCATAGAGAAAGAGAAATAACTAGCAGGTACTCAATAAAAAGTTGTGGAGCAAATAAAGTGCTTTAGAGAAGTTGAGGAAAATGAAGGCCCAGAAAGACCACAGGGTTTGCAAAGGTGCAGACCTTTTTGAGCGCTCAGGGGATCAGTTTTGTAAGCGGTGGCAACGAAACCCTTTCTCTGGTTGTGAGAAAACAGCGGCCGTGGGGATAAGCCATGTTCTGAAGCAGTGGTACAAAAAAGCAAATACCAACCTTTCCCACAGCACCTAAGGTGAATTAAAATAAAGTTTAACTAAGCAATGGGACCTAGTACACATTCTTTCAACTATCATCTGGAATAGTCTTCATGTTTCTGAGAATTCTCAGAGTGGCTTAACTACCCTGCCCTCCTTTTTTAGAGTGCAGTGATATTTAGAGTTTAAAATATTACCAGTATTCCTACTCCCAAACACTATTTTCCCTGTGTTTTGTGTCTATTTAAAGACCACACGCCTGTATAAACCTGGAGACACTTGAGTTTTTATTCAAATACTCTAGGTACCAGCTTGCATTCAGATCAGTTGTTGAGAAAACAAAGACAAGTTTCCGGAGAGAAAACAACACAAATTTATCAATAAGAATCTATTTGTTCTTTAGAATTTGGAAAAAATTGTACTGTGGTATTGTGAATATATATACATATATACATATACACACACACACCCCAAATTGTCTCAATCACACCCTCTCCTTATTCCCGTTCACTTTGCTGAATAATTTGGCCCATAGTAGATATAGTGGTGTGGTTATCTTAACCTTATTTTTGAAAATTAAACAGTTTCTGCATTAAGTAAAAGTCATGTATTTTGGAGTTTAATATTTTAAATGTATGTGATTCATAAACCTTTTTTTGTTATTAAAAATCAAATACATTTATGGCAGTGGTCGGCAAACAGCGGCTCGCGAGCCACATGTGGCTCTTTGGCCCCTTGAATGTGGCTCTTCCACAAAATACCGACTTCTGCTCATGGGCCACGAAGTTTCAAACGCACTGTATATGTGAGCCTGAATGTGGTATTTTGTGGGAGCCACACTCAAGGGGCCAAAGAGCCGCATGTGGCTCGAGAGCAGCAGTTGACCACTGATTTATGGTATTTTAAGTACATCCTTATTTTTCTATTTTTTATGACATTCTCTGGAATACATTTTCTTGCTTTCAAAACTTTAGAGTCTCTAAGTGCATGCTTGTTATACACGTAAGGGAATAAAGAGATAGTTCAAGACAGAAAAAGAATAAAACAAAAACTCATCTCATAACTTTAGAAAATAATAACTTATGTTTTGAGTTACATCATTAGACAATGCCAGAATTAAGATAATAGATGATCCTTGGTCAGGTGACCCAGTTGCATGGAGTGTCATCCCATACACAGAAAAGGTGGTGGGCTTGATTTTTGGTCACGGCATATACCTAGGTTTTGGGTTCCATCCAGGTATGGGAGGCAACCAATTGATATTTCTCTCACATCAACGTTTCTCTCTTTCTCCCTTTCTTTCTCTCTAAAATCAATAAAAATACCCTCAGGTGAGGATTAAAAAAAAGATAATAAATAAATTCTCCCTGCACTGTATACTTTCAAGGAACAGAATACAGACACACTCTCACTCAAGACAGAGCAGAATAAAACTCCTAAGTGACAAGTTACTGGTGGACAGCATCCACGTTGGTTTTATTTCTCTGTCTGTCAGGAAAGTGCCGAGAATGAGGTCTGGACAGTCCAGTGGCAAGGCAGTGTGTCGGTGCACCACCTGGCTCAGGGGCAGCCCTGGCACCGTGGGGCCCTCTCGGGCCACTAGCCCAGCTCTGCCTGCCTTGCTGAGGGGCAGACCTCCTCACCGGGAGACAGATACCCCCCAGGAATAATGGTGCTAGGTCTACACCTTCGAAAGTCTCAGCGTCTGTGCTTCCATGTCTGATCTGGGAAATGGTATCATTTCAGTTTTATTATGGGGGACCTCCAGGAGGACACAAGGAAAGGCGCATTCAGCAACTTCTCTAGAAATGTTCAAAATACCAATTATTGAGCAGAAAATAATATATACTGCTTTTGAAATAAAGACCAAAACTTTTAAAGAAGTGAAGCCAAAGTAGTCAACCTGTTAGGATTTTGTCAATTTGGCTGGCCCAGGTAGCAGGCCCTCACCCACAGCCCCTCCCACCCACAACCTCTCCCAATACCCCAACAGCCCCTCCCAATACCCCAACAGCCCCCTCCGCACCTTTAGAGCCTCATAGCTGGATCCAGAAACTTAGCATTCCTGCCAATAACCAATTCCATGCTGCAGGACCTAGGAGCTTGTGTGGCTCTGGCTGTCTGTCTCCTTATCTTTTGAGATCAGACTTTGAAGAGCTGTGGTGCTTTAAAATAATGTTAGTTTTTTTTCCCCAAGGTACTGCCCAAGGCATATTTGAAATAGTTCCGGTCATTACTGACATTTAAAATGCTCACCTTTTCATCTCAAATTTGGGTTTTCCTCTGTGCTGACACTAACATCCGTGTCTTCAGAGTGAACAAGCTGAGAAAGATCTGTATAAAGTTTGAATTCATGAAATAACGGCT